TAAAAATATCCTTCCCTGCCGCCCGGAGCTCTTCCCCGGCAGAGGCTGTGTCATAAGACCCTGCTATTTGCGGGGCCCTGCTTCCTTTCACGCGAGGAGAAGCATGAGAACGGGGCAGCGCGGTGCCCGAGGCTCATCGGGCACGACCCGGGCACGGTGCCTGGCAGGCTGTTTCTCTGCAAGCCCTGGTCCCCCGTCTGCCGCTCGCCCCGCCGCTCGCCACGGAGTTTGCTCTGCTCAGCATCCTCAGCCCTGCGGGTACGGGGGGATCGGGAGCCACGGGGCTCTGAGCGCTGCCGATGCCACTCCGAAACAAGCCCGTGACCCAACAGGTTCCCGAGCTCTGCCACTTCCCAAGCGGGTGTCCCTCAAATCGCGCCGCCCCCCGTGCATCCCCGTCCCAGGCACGGAGCCCCCCGGGCAGCCCCTGCCCTGGAGCAGCCGGGCAGCGGGGCCGGCAGCAGGTCGGTGCAGCGAGGGGCTGTGGGGCGGCCGGGGCTAGAGGCTCCGGGGGCGGCAAGTGGGGCACAGCCGCTTTGCCAGGGTCATCAGGTGGGCGCTGCGGGGAGGATGGAGGGGATGTGGCACCCGAGCCCTGCCCGCCCGCCCGGTGCTGCGCCCCGCTCCCATCCCACCGAGCCCACCCCGCGGCCGGCACTTACCGGGCAGCCGCCGGCTGCGGCTCTGCGCCCCGGGCCCCGACATGCGGCTGCTGCGAGCGGGCCGGGCCGGGCCGGGCAGGGGGACGGGGATGAGTGCGGCCCCCCCGGCGCCGCCGCTCTCCCAAGCCGCGCTGCGGGGCGGCGCTCGGCACGGGGCGGTACCGGCGCTCCCGGCACCGCGGCACCGCGGCCGCGCCTCCCGCCCCGCCGGGGTCCCGCCGGCAGTCCCGCCGCCGGGATGGGGTCTCCGCTCCACAGGGAGAATCAGAAGGTCCCCGTGAAGGGTCCCCGGCCCCCATGGACAGCAGGGTGCGCGGTACCCGGTCCTCCGCGCTGCCGGGACCCCCGGAGTGTCCCCATGCAGGGTCCCTGGCCCCGAAGAATGGTCCCTGCAGAAGGTCCCTCCCCAGCAGAGCCGTGCCAGGCAGAGATCAGTGCCCGCAGTGGGGGCTGCAGGTGCCCTGCACCGGCAGGAACTGTGCAGGGGGAGGCGGGGGAGGCAGGGGCTCTGCCTGGGCAGGGAGAACAGTTACCGTTCGTGCTTGCTTTTTCTTTACTTATCTTCTCAAAATGCCCAGCTCACGCATTCCTGCTGGAGAGAGGACAGCATGATGTATTGATGGGCCCACCCCATCTGAGTGTTGGCCTTGTGAGCCCCTTATCCCCAGCAGACCCCACTCTGGGGTGCTTTCTCCCACGTTCAGTCCTGTACATCAGGGCTGCTCCTTGGCAGAGCCAAGAACTTGGCCGCCGCCTCCTTCCTGTGTCTCAGCAGGGTGAGTCAGTGCCTCGCCGTGCCCAGAGCCAGCTCTGCCCAGAGCCAGCTCTGCCCGGAGCCTGGTCACTGCCAAGCCAGAATGGGGGACATCCACTGTGCCCCTTGCTGTGGCTGGAAGGGAGCTTCCAGTGTCTGTGGAGTGTCACGCCTGTCCCGTTCTCAGTGTGTTCCTCTCACTGTCCGCATAACAAAAGATGACTGGGTACTGGTTGTGTCCCAGCTCTATTTTGGCTACAGTTGCTTTGCTGTCCCCCCTATGGACCCCTTGTGGTCCCTCCTGGGACCTCCTGCTGCCGAAAACCGGCTTTGTGCTGGGTAACCGGAGCCTGCACCCTGGGGCTGGCTTCAGCTTTTCACGGTGGTTTTGAATTTTGTCCACGTAAATGTTTATTCCTATCCATAGGCACTCCCAGTCCTTCCTGCCTGATGTTCGCACGTGGTGTGGGATGCCAGCACTGCGGCTTGGGGTACCAGGCTGATGTAGCACGAGTGGGGGTTATGGTCTCTGAGCAGCTGCATGACCAAATCTCTGCTGGGTACCTGCCGGTGCCGGCTTGTTCGCAGCTCCGTGCGGCCCCCGAGCAGCATCAGCCTGTCCCTGCTGCCCTGCCCAGCCCTGCCCTGCCCTGCCCTGCCCTGCCCTGCCCAGCCCTGCCCTGCCCTGCCCTGATGGCCCTGACAGTAGAGGGGCGAGGAGGCAGGGCCGGGGAATTAGCTCAGGTCTCTGCTATGTGACATGTCTGTGTCTTTTGGCACACTGCTGCGAGGCGTGGAGGCTGTTAGTGCGCACACGGGTTTCCGGAGCACCCCGAGGTCCCCAGAGCTCCCTGCATCCCGAATTCCCGCTGAGGGGACGGCATATGTGGGTGCTGCTCGTGCAGAGTGACACGTTCCCAGGCCCCTCGCTGTCGTGGTCCCTTCATCCTGCCTTGCCGGGAGGGCGTTGGAAAAGCACTGATATCATCGGCACCGAGCCTGACTCATCCTGGCTCTTCAGCACAAGCCATGCCGCTCAGCGGGGCACACATTTTATTCCAATTAAACCATTGTAGGCAAGCCAGCTCTACATAATGATTTTTTTTCTTTTTTTATTCGTAGCAAAGCATGCCTGCCCCGGGCCAAAAGGTGAGAGAGGACAGAAGTGACGCTGGAGTCAGTGGAGAGTCTCCACTTCTGGTACGGAGCCCAAAGAATAAGTCTTGCCAGAAACCTGCAGGGTCTGTCTCGGCTGCCGCAGCATCCCTGCCTCCCTTGTGCCTCCAGTGACACAGTCTTGTGTCAACAGCCCTCGCCCGAGCTGCAAAAGCCCAGGTCACGAGCCCAGCTCGGAATGTCACCTCTTCTCACCACGACACGGAGTCCATCTCCTGCCAAAAGACCCCAGAGGGCTCAGCATCAAAGTGTCCCTGTAACTGTGAGAAAATGCAAGGCGACTTGTTTCTCCTGCCCCTCCTGCTCAGGTTTTTCCCGTTTATTAGAGGTTTGGGAGGTGAGTCAGGGAGCTGCGGGGTGAGGATGGAGCTGGGGAGGACTCGGCAGCTAAGGGAAAGGCAAACTAGTTCCAGGCACAGGTGAATCACTTGCTGGTGAAAATGCATCTTATTCTCTGTGAGGCGTGCGTGGATGGGGCTGGGAGTGAACTGCAGCTTGACTCCATCAGAAAATTGTGGAGTCAAGAGAAAAAACAAGGCAAGGCTGCTTTTCCAGTAAATGAGGCGATACATTGCAAAGGAGCAGCCTGCAGCAGGCAAAGCTCCAGCAACCCGTGGTCCTGTGGCTCCCTTAAAAGGGGCGATTTTAGCCTGGGACAGCGGGGAGACAGAAAAGCCATAAACACCCTCAAAGGAATGTGGCTGCCGAGAAACGAGAATCTCCGCAGGCGAGGCGAGGTGGGGGGAGTCTGGATGGGGTTTGCAGCACCGCTCTATGCCTGGAGCCAGCCGGTTCCTTGGCCATGCCCTGTCCCGAGGGAAGGATCCCTATCCCGGTGCTAACAGTCCCTGTGTGGTGCTGGGGGAGGCTCCTGCCAAGCCCCGGGGGTCGCACCCCACGCCGTATAGACATCCCTGCTTGCCAGCTGCTGGCAGGAGAGCAGGTGGAGCTGGGAGGTGGTGAGTGGGCAGCAGGACACCAGCCTCGGCCAAAGAACGAGCAGGCTGGGCTGGTAGAGAGTGCCTGTCCCAGAGGAATTTCCTCTTCATCATATCTCACTTCTTTACGGGCAGCTGAGCTGTTCTGCACAGGCTTTGCTCTTAGTGCCATGGAGCAGCCCTGTATCCTGGGACATTGTGCGGGTTCTTGGGAAGAGCCCTCGGGGCTGGCTTGTCCCTGCAGCTAGCTGTGGGCATGTGGTGACGCCTCTGGGCCAGGCTCTCCCCTGCATGTCCCAGGCTGGTGGCAAATGGAACTACAAATGTATCAGTAGCCTGACTGAAATGACTGTGTTGCTTGCTTTTCTTCCAGGACTTATGAAGATTCAGCACGTGGCACTAGTCTACAAATAAATGTTGTAGTTCATTGTTTTTGTTGATATTTTGTAAAGAAATAGTCTTTGGTTTTCACACCCCAGCTCTTTTTGCATTAGATTTGGGTACATGCAGTGTTTGCAGAGTTGTGGTTTCCAATTGCTCCGGGTTCCTGGGGCTGCAGGTGTCTGGGTGTGGTGGCACAGCTGTCCCAGGGATGAAGGTACCTGTGCATGGAGGGGTTCCAGTTATGAAGGTCCTGCTAAAGCTGTGTTCCTGGGCTGCTGCAAAGCAGTATCGCCAAGAGCAAAGCTGTCACCAGCAAAGAGGGGTCTCACATGACCAGCCTCCACAGCAATGCCACCAAAGCAGGCAGGAAACTTTCTGTTCCCCCTCCTGCTGGAGCCAAAGGGGTTCGTGGAGCGAGAGCTGGGATCAGGCCACAGACATGCAAAATCCCAACTGATGCTACAAAGGCTGTGCAGCCTTGGGAATTGCCGGAGCCAGGGTCTGGGCAGAAGGTTTTGGAGCTGTAGGTGCTGTTTAAGGCTTTGACCCTTCAAACGCCCTGGGCTTTGCTTCCCGCCCTCCATTGTGTTCTCCTGTGCTGTTCAGGAGACCCAAGCCAAGGGAAGAGATCCTCGCCCTGCCTGGAATCCTGCTGCTGGCAGCGGCCACTGTCCCATGTCCCCGACTCGTGTCACGCCTGAGTGGGCAGCAGTGGCCGAGGTGGGCAGGGGTTGCGGGTCTTTGGGGTGAGGATGCTGGTGTCGGGGCGCCGGTGCCTGGAGGTGGATGCAGAGCGTGGGCAGCGGTGGGTTCTGGCAGGGTCCCGGCGAGATGCGATGCGGGGAGGTGCAGGGCTGCGGGATGCCGGGGCTGCGGGGTGAGGGGCCGGGGGTGCCCCTGGACGCTCCTTTGCCTCCGCCCAGCCCCCTCCTTAATTAGCCGCGGCAGAAGCCGCTCATTAGCGGCGACAGAGGGACGGGTGCCCTCCCCGCGGAGGCGGGAGGGAGCGGAGCGCTACCGGCCCCGGTGGTGCGGGCACCGGCACCGGCAGCGGGAGCGCGGCTGCAGCCCGAGCCCGGCGGAGGGATGGGGCAGCGGCGGGGCCCGGCCGTGCTGCTCCTCGCCCTGGGTGAGGGGATGCCCGGGCGGGGGTCTGGGAAGGGGGACCGGGCGGTGTCTGGGGTGTCCGCGGGGAGGGGGCGATGAGATGGGGTGTCCCCTTCTTCCCTCCCTCTGTCCCTCCGTCCGGGCGGGTCCCGCTGCCGGGGCCGCTGGCCGTCCCCCGGCCGGTCGCTGTCCCTCTCTCCGGCCGGGAGTGCCGGTGTCGGGATGGCAGCCCGGGCTGACCGGTCCTCCCGTGTCCGCCGGGCTCGGGCAGATCTCCAGAACGCCGGGCACAGCCGGGGGGGTGGCGGGGGCTCGAGGCTGTCCTGTGTGGAAGGGGCCGCTCGCCGAGCCGGGGCAGCCCCGGGCGGAGGTGGGCTCTGTCCCCAGGGGCTCACTTCGCCCCCCGGTGCTGGCAGGGCACCTGGCCGGGCTGCTGGCAGCGGGACCCGCCTGCGCCGACGCTTACCGGGGCCTCTCGGACTGCGTCCTCAAGCTGGGGGACAGCATGGCCACGTACGAGGAGGAGGAGGGCATCGAGCTGCAGGGGCTGCGCCGAGTCTGCAGGTGAGTACTGTGCATGGCCAGCCTGGCTTTTGGCATTCCCCTGTCTGAAGTCTCCTGCCCTGCTGAGTCTCGTCGTGCCTGCACACACACATGTGCTCCACACCTTCCAGATAGACCAGGTGAGCTTCTTTTCTCTGTCCGTCCATCCATCCATCCATCTCCTACCTGTCTCCCATCGGATTTTGTATCCCTGGTCCTTGGCAGCAGCTCCAGCCCCCAGCACAGGTCCCGTCAGACCCTGCATGCCTGCAGGAGCGGGGCTGGAGGGACCCGACTCGCTCTGCACCCCAGGAAAATCTCCCCTGGACCCCAAGTTTCAGGCAGTGCTCTGCCCCAGTGCCCAGCGCTGCCGGGAGCAGCAGCAGCACCACGTGCTGCCCAAAACAAGCTTTCTCCCTCTCTGTGTAGAGCCTGCATCCTTCAGGCTCGGATTTGTCCCAGCCCTGGTTTGCCCGAGTTTGTAGTAATGCCCTGAGAGGAAGATACTGGGAGGATGTTAACTTTAACAGAACTGAAGAAGAGCTGGGTAATCAGAGGTGGTGTTGGGCAGGTTTGGGGAAAGATCCACTTAAAAAGCAGACGAGCAGAAGCAGTGGGAGCAGGATGTAAAATGTTTGCAGAGAAATGGAGTCTCCAGAGTCTCCAGAGGAGCTGTGGGGAGTGAACAGGAGTTAAATGGAAATGCAGACAGCAAAGAAGGGAAAACCCACGTGTCCGGGAGCGGTGGAAACCTGGCAGAGCAAGGTGGAGGGTTGAGTGCCCTGGGGTCACGCTTTTTGAGCTGCTAGAAACCACCCTGCAGGCTGTGACCTGCTCGTATTTCCCCTTCTCCAGGAGACAGCCTGAATCAGGATGAACAGCCTCTCTGGGGCCTGCCTTTGGGTGGGTTGAAATGGGACTGCTCTGATTTGGACAGAACTAGTACTTTTTGGTTTGTTTTTGGGTTTTTTGGGTTTTTTTAAAGGAGGCTTCTTGGTGTTAGAAAACACCCAAGCAGTCAGCCCAGCTCATGCTGTTGCTGGTTGCGGGAGGAGCGATTCCTTTGCTGAAGCTCATGTGAAATGTTCAAGCTGAGCTTTTCTTACAGCTCAGAGGCACAGACCTTTGCAGAACAGGTCCTGGGATCTCCCCTGGTGATGTCCCAGCTGCCTGCCAGGAAATATTAGTGAATTATTTGCCTTTGACGTTCAGCCTTATCCACTCCTGCTTGCATTTCTGGTGCCGTGGTCCCCTCTCCAGGAGGATGGATGAGGGATGGACAGGGAGCCAGGAGCTGCTGTGGGGGCTGGTGGTGTCTCTGCTCGGCGTGCAGCGCTGCCCCAGAGCCGGCCGGGCGAGGCGCTTGCCAGCAGCCTGCCTGCCTGAGCAGATGGGGGCTGGGAAGGTGAAACACTGGGAATTGCCATCCCAGCTGAAAGCAGATCCAGGCTGGAGCTGCCAGTCCCCTTCACCTTCCCCGAGCTTGCTCTGCCTGAAGACATGGGTCAGGTTTAACTCTTACCTGCCAGAGCTGCCTGCCACTGCTGCTGCAGATCGGGAGCAAGCGCCGGAGGTTGTCAGGGTTGGCACCAGCTTTTCTCATTATCTGGGGACGTTTATTCTGCCACAGTGACTCAGTTTAATGAACTCCCTCACAGCTGGTGTTCTGACGTAAGCCCCGGGTCTAAGTAAGCAGAGTGCTCAGGTTTGCCTGTCTGCACAAAGTGTCATCTCCAGCACAGTGCACGCAGCCAGCACCGTGCTGTCCTTTTCGGGTGCAGTGTCCCCTCTCGGCCAGCTGGGCTGTATCCGTTCCCTGACAAGTGGCACAGCGTGTTGGCAGACACAGGGAAGGTGTCAGTGCAATTGCTCCTGTCCTCTAGACTCCTGTCTTCCAGCTTGGAGTGCCCAGCCCCAGCCCATGCGGGACAGGACAGCAGAGCAGCTCCTGCTTTATTCCTGCAGGACCACAGGAATGCCTGTTCCGTCTTTTCCCTCTGGTACTCCCCAAAAGCCTCTTTCCACTGAACAGCTTCTACTTGTGAAAGTAATACCCAGCAGATAAATGGAGATGATTCTAATGAGAACACGGTGAATAACTCCTCCTGCCCCTGCCCGTATCTCAGTAAAAGCTGTGACAGCCTGTGGGAGCTCTTGTCCTTCTCCGTGCTTTGTGCTCCCATTTGCCCTTGACTCTGCTTGGAGAAAGCTTGGAGAAAGTGATGAATGAGATGTGCTGGGCCTTTGTTTGCAGCCTGTGTGAGATACTCAGGGAAACATTTGTTGATGGAAAATAATGGATTTTATTGACTTCCAGAGAAAAGTGAGGGGGGGGGAAGGAATAAATAATTTCAGTGTTTTGAGATTTGGAGTTTTAGCCAAGATGCTCTGGCAGATGATGGAGGGGATGAATAGTCTGAGCAACTTGCAGAAAACATGAGGGCTGTTGCTGCTCAGAGGGCAGGCTCAGGGCAGCAAGGCTCTGCCTGGCATCCAGCACTGTGGGAGTGCACAGGGACTGACAGCGTGGTGTCTCCCTGGCTGCAGGTACTGGGATGAATTCCACACCTGTGCCCTGACAGTGCTCTGGGAGTGCCAGAAGGAAGCAGCAGCCGTCTGGGAGATGCTGAGAAGGGAGTCCCGAAAAACCAAATTTCAAGGCAGTTTGTTCGACCTCTGCAGCCCCAGCACGACCCAAAGCTTTGCCTGGACCCGCGTTCCCAACATTTCCATCCTCAGCATCCCCCTCATCGTCACTTGGCTGAACTTATAAACTGCAGCTCTGTGAGTATCCCAACAAAAGTGATGGCAGTGTGTGGTGTGGCATCTTTCAGATCTATTTTCCAAACCTTTGAGGAATACACTGTGTGGAGCTCAAAAACTCACGGCTCCATCCTGCGGCTGTGAGACGTGGAAGAGCTCGGCAGCATCTCCAGGGTGTTGAAATTTCTCTGTAATTGGAATAATTCCTGTCCCCTTCTGCCTCAAGGCACAGACACAGATCTGGCTGTCAGGAGATTTGGGAACTTGTAAATACAGGGCACAGAATTTGGGGAGAAATGATAAATTCTGGAAAAAGGATAAATGCTGGACACTTCTGCACTCTTCTATGGCAAGTGGAAGGAAACCCATTTCATTTGCTGACTCTTTCCACCAGATCAACTCTCCAGGGTTTTGATTTGGGCACTCAAAACAAGATGGGTATTTTCCCACTGCTCCATGAGGTGCAGGGGATGGTGGCTGAAGGGAGACCTTACTGCCCTGTACTGGTCATTTTTCTTTGAGGACATGGTAAAACCCCTGCTGAACAATAATCACAGTTGCATGACTTCTCTTGCACACATCTGAATTCCTGAGTAACTTCTGTGTTATGTGTAAATCCCTTTCCTAAGGGCAGAGGTGAAAAGTATTTGGGAGAAGAGGGAGAATCAAGCTAGGAGGACAAAAGGGATTTATAGCGACTCTTCTGCTTTAAAGCTTTCCCCGAGGTATCTGTAAGCAGCTGTGGGTAGAAGTGTGTAATTCCAGAGTATTAAAGCTTGTTGTAGAGCCAACAGCATGGCAGAAGTTATTTGTCCTGGGTCTTGCTCGACAGCACAGACTCCTCTTGTCTCCTTTGTGGCTCAGAGTGTTGTCAGTTTTGCAGCTTCAGTTCAAGCATGGAAGTATTTGGAAAAGAGAGGGGTTTGCAAGTGATTTCTGAGTATGTTGGAGAAACACAGTTTTTGGTTAGCCCAAGGCAGTCTGTGTTTTAAGAATACTGCTGGATCTCTGTGTCCTGCCTGTCTGCACGGGGCCATGGGGTGTGTGCTCAGTGTGAGCAGGGAAACCAGGGCCCTGCCAACTGCACACATCCCACCAGGTGCATTCCAGGCAGCAGGCAAGCTTCTACAGCAAAGGATCTTTTTCCTAACAGTGGTGTTGGGTCATGCTGCTTTCCTCTGGCATTCACGTGTTCTTCCTCTTACCTTCACTATCCCTCAACATTCTGTTCCTGCAGCAGCAGCAGGAGATAATGAAGAAATTGAGGCAAATTCCAAGAAATAAGCCAGGACAGAGCAGCTGGTGTTCAGACAGCACTTCAGTGCAGGAGTTGTTACTTATGTATTTTAGTACTCAGCATCTGGGGCACAAAGCCTTAGGGTGAGCAGTGGAGAAAGGATAAATCAGAGCACGGTAAAACCTGGAGTGAACCACTGAGATGCTTCATTTTTTTCTTCTTACTCCACGCCAACAGCACTGTTTGCTGTTTGATCCTATTCCCCCCTTCCCTGTTACCTCTTGTGGCTGGGGAAAGCTGAAGCAGGGGAAAGCCATGTACAACCAAGACTGGAGTATTTTGGCTCCAAATCCTGTACCTGTTTTTTGTTTAGAACAGCTGTTTAATGCCTTTAGGAAAAGTAAGCACATCCTCCTAAAATCCCACAACCCTTGCTTTCTCTTTGAATTTGGCAATTCCTCTCAAAATTTTCTGTGTAGAAATTGTTTTGGGGAAAGGGAAGGTAGAAGTATTAGATCTGCAAGTAATCTTTTTCCAAAGCCATGGATGCATATGGCTGACTGCCAGAATCTCTGAGAAGAGCAGGTCTTGGGACATATCTTCCCTGGAAGCAAATCCCTCAAGTATTGCACACTAAAAAAAAACCCCAAAGATTCATTAAGAAACAAAGACCATCTGCCACTGTTCTGGTGTGGAGCAGCAGATTTTTTTTTTTTAAGCCAAAGGTGATTCTAAATCTGACTGAAAGCATGTGAGAGAAAACTAGGTCTCACAGTATGGGAGTGATGAGTTTCCTCAATCAGTATGTCATTTTTAGCAGAACTTCCTCTATGACTAGGACAATTACAGTAGAAGTCCTTTAAAAAATAAAAAGAAAAGTACTACACAAATTCATTTCTCCTAGGCAGTCAGCAGCCTTTCAGAAAGATTTCTGATCCTACAGCACACTTCATGCTGATGCAGTGCAGCTCCTGGGATGTCCTGCAGCCTCAGTGTTAAAGCCCCATTTGTCAAGGATTCTTCTCATGGCCTTGCTGTGAGCTTCTCCAGATACAAAGCCGTCCCCAGATTTCACCCCCCCAGGGAAGCTGCTGAAGCGGTTACAGCGTATTTTGTGTATTCAAAAAGAAATGGGTTAAATGTTCCTTGTTCCTTAGTCCAAAGTCTTCACCTTTTTTCTTGCAGGGGAACAAAAGTGGCAGCTCTGTTCATACAGACTCACAGCAACTCTGGGAGCAGCTGGAAAACGTGGCTTTGTCTCCTTGCTCTCAAATTCACTGTAATTAATCTTTAGCTCCTACTTGGCGCAAGAACAGCCCCGAACACAGGAGCTCACACCACACTTTGGTGTGGTATTAAGCCTTTAAGTAAACCTGCTATCTTTCCCTGTCCCTGCAGGACTGGGATGTTCTTTCTCAAGAATAGCACCAAGAAGCAGCAGAGGACAAAATGACCCTGAAGGAGTCTTAAAACATGACTAACAGCACGCCAGTGCTTGTCACCCCGAGGCAGCAGTGCCCTCTGCTCCCCGCCCTGATCCCAACCACACACACACTCCCTGCTCCTTTCTGAGGGAGACACTGGCACCTACTGGAGACCAGTTTATATCCAGGCAGAGGTGACTGGGAGAAAGACAAGTATCCTTGTATGTGAAAAATGAGTAGATTTTGAGAAGGGATGGCCAGTCTTGCTGCAGGGGCAGCCCTCCAGGCTGGCTCCTGCCCAGAGAAACATTTGTGTAAACTCTTCCCTCTGAAAGGCTGCTGCTGTTTGAAACCCTGCTTACAGGGGCTTTGGTCAGGAAGAACTCCTGGTGAAATCCCCCAATATAAAAGGTGCTGGTTACATTTGTTTAGACAGAAATCCTCCTCTGGAGACCTGCTGAGTATCTAAAGCAGCAGGATGTCATCCTGCCCCAATTTACAGTGTTTGAATGTGAGAAGAGGGATTGAAGTACAGCTCAGCTCCTCAGTAACAAAAGTCGAAAGAGCAGCTTCAGAGAGTTTTATCAGTCTCAAACCATCCCACCACTTTTCAACAAGCTGAATTAGCAAACAATTTATGCAAATTAAAACTTACAAATATTAACATACAAAGGGAAGTTACTGCAGCAAGATGCTGCACAGGAGAAAAATCTGTCTCTAGATCTGGCTTTGCCCTCGTTTGGGATTGCACAACATGGCAACGTCCCTCAGTGGAAACCAGGCAGGATGTGGGGCTGCTTACCTGGGCTGTTGGATCTGAAGGAACTGCCCAGCTCTGGACCCTCAGCAATAAAGGGATGTCCCTGCTTGGTGAAGTTTATTTGAAAGGCCTCTGAATAGTTGAGAAATAACAGCAGTCTCTTATTTAACACCACCTGTACCAGGCAAGATCTGTTGCTGGACTGCTGAAGCCTGACCAGAAAGCCCATCCAAGGGGGAACATCATGGCTCCAGGACACTTTTGCAGGTTTCCCCAGGGCAGCTCCAGGCTCAGGCTGGACATGTGGAGATCCTGGACTGCTGATACTCCCTCTGAAGTGGAGTAATGCCAGCTGACTTCCCAAGACAGTACTCAATGATGCCTTCCTTTCAGAGCAGAGGTATGAAATGTTTATTGTAGGGAATTTCATGTGTCCCAGACAGGGGCACCTCACAGCCAAGTGTTCTCTGGCTGCATCCTTCTGTTGCCATGATACAGACACTCGTGGTACTTCTTGAAGTGTTCAGTTTCCCAGGAGAGCCGTAACAGTCACAGCAGCATTATATTTTTATTATTACAAAAGATTTCTTCAGCAAACTGCTGTCTGTCACCTCTATGTATCAAACATGGAAACAGCAAACAAACCCATCTAACATTACAGGTTATTTAGTGTCTCAGCTGGTGATTCAGGTAAGTACAACTATTTTCTTTCTCCCCATCCATTCACTTCCTTGACTCTTTTCCCAAACAAAGCCCAAACAAGTCACAGATTGGAAGCAGCAGCTCCCAGCCCCGCTGCTCACTGTGCCAGCTCTGGCAAGAAGAGCTGACCACTGTGTTACCCATTCAGGGTATTCCCACATTGTTAAATTCCAAATGCTCCTCACGCACCAAGTTTTGCTACCTGGCTTTTCACAGTCTCATGAGTGAAGAGTTAAGGGCACACTCTCCATACAGTCATATCAATTCTTTGTGTTAACAAAATAATCATCTGCTCCTCCCCCGTTGTCAGCTGATGCCAGAGGAGATGCTCACACTCATGCAGTCACCGAGGTCCAAAAAAAAAAAAAAAACAAAAAAAATTCATAAAGTCTAAACAGACCTGCTGTGCTTCTTCAGGGATGATTCTGAGGCATTGGACGCATTGTGCTGGGAACAATGACTAACGCAGCGTGCTGCTGCCAGGCCAGTCTATACGTTGGATTTGGGGGCAGAGTTGAGGGGGATCTCCCGGAGCTCTATCCTCATGCACAGGTACTCCCCGATGGCTGCCATCAGAGCCGTGCACACAATGTGCACCAGCCACCACGTCAGCGTCGAGGGGAAGCGCGAGTTGTAGATCCAGCAGCCCAGGAGGTGGAAGAAGTGAACGGTGACGGTGAAATCCAGGCACTGCTTCCCTCGCCGGATGAAGTACAGCAAGCCCAGAGCACTGCAGAGTAAAGACAAGGGATTAATGAACTCCACCAGACCTATGGAAAAGGTGGTGAAGCAAGAGCTATCAGAAGTTGTCAGTGCTGGTTGTGTAGTGGTTTTAAAACTTCTTCAAATATTTTAAGAATAGGTTGTTTCTGACCTCTCTCCTGGCCACTGCAGCAAGACTTACAGGCTTACAGATTTTTTTAATTATATGATGGCAGGAAAATGAGGTTTTAGTGCAAAGAACAGGCAGGAATTAATAGACTATGTCCTCTAGTAATTTTTGTGCAGTGAGCAAAATACATTAGTGTTTGTAGATCAGTGTTTGCTGAGATCCATTAAGTCTAACTTTTAGTAAAATCTCCCACAAAAGCAAATCTCACTCCCAGGTGGAAAACTGAAGCAGTGAAGTGAAATTACTTTTCCAGGTTCTAGAAAGCCCAAGAGCCAGCAGTTCCCAACTGCCCTCAGCAGATATGCTTTAGAAGGCACAGGGATTTTGGGAGATGTTAGGAGAGAGGCAGTACATCACACTGAATTCTTTTACAACTTAACGGTATGAAAGGACAAGATGCAGGTACTCCAGCTAGCTGCAGACTTACCAGGTGAGTGCATTGAGGATGAAGGCCATCATGGAGAGCCTCCCCGGCGGGGTTGAGAAGCCTAAAATCTACATGGGACTATTAGTAGGAACCCGCGGCACAAATCGCAGCCCGAGTCTCCCAGGCACAGCCCTGCATGGATCAGGATCTACAGAAGGAGCTGGACGTGTCTGTCTGTCTAGGGGCACCTACAGGAAAGGGAAAAGTCTGGTTCTGTGCTGAGGGGAACCACCTAAACTGGGGCTGGAGGGTATGCATCCATACTGGGGTTATTTCTAGGGGGTAGGGAGCTGTCTTTATAGCGGGAGTACCTACAGGGTATCTCTGTAAGGGGTGTCACTTATAGAGCGAGGTGCTCCCTCTCCACAGGGGTACCACCTGTACGTGTCTCTCTCTCTGTATGGGGGCTACCACCCACCACACACCCAAGTGCTGTCTCCACCCCGGGGTACCACCTATTCAGAGGGAGGACTTTACCTCCATACTGGGGCACTTACACAAGGCAGCAGGTTTGTGTACTGGGGGCTGCTACACGGGGTAGGGGAACTCTGCACCCACGCCGGGGTGCTCCCTGGGCGGGGAGCTGTCCCTAACACCGGCAATGCCCACACGGGAGCGGGGCCTGGCTCCCCCGGGAAAGTCCCAGCAAGTGTCCCCCGCTCCAGGGGCCTGTGCCCACGGCGGCTTCCCGGGGCGCGCCCTCACCTCGTCGCTGAAGACCTGTTGGAGGGAGGGCCCGGTGCTGCCCAGGGTGCCGAGGAGGGCGAGCCAGAGCCCGAGCGAGCTGTAGTATCCCGCCTGCAGCAGCACCATCTGCGCCACGATCAGCGCGGGGTCCCACACGTAGCTACGGAACTGCGCCGCCATCGCCCGCCCGCCGCCCGCGACGGAAGCGCCGCCGCCGCCGCGCCAGAGCGCCCCCTGGCGTGCGGGAGGACCCGCTGCTGCCTCCGCGCCCCGCCCACTGACCCAGGCCCCCCCG